TTTCATACCATGTGTTGGCCATATCCTCCAGTTTGTATGCTGCGAGCTCCACGGCTCTCTCACTAGAACATCCAAGAGCACGTAATGCCTTAAGTGTCCCATCCAAGAAACTTTGAGGATCCGCTGAATTATCGGAACCTGTGAATTTTGGTGATTTCAATTTTAGGAACTCGTGTAGGGATACTTCCTTATTTCCGAAAGTCTCTGTCTGTGCAGGTGCTTGTGTCTATAAAGTATCCCGAGGAGCTGAACTTCCTCCCTGAGTAGGCACCAATGCCTCTAACACATTCAATAACCTTGCCACTGCATCTGCAGGTAAGGCAACAGTAGGTACAACAGTTGGCACTGGTGGTGGAGCATTCTGAACTCCCTGCTCTTGCACTTGATCTGGCATAACAGCTTGGGTTTGACCCATGTTCCCAACTTGAGGTTGAGGAGCAGTCTGTCTTCTAGTTTGATGAACCCCAACTTGACCTCCACCCTGGGTAGTACCACGTCCAGCAGATGAGGGTGTACGTGTCCTAGCCATCCGCGAAAGAAATATTCCAAAGTCAATCTCAAGTTATCTCAATGCACGATCAAAGAATGAATGAAGGGAAAATATTCCTAAATGTTCAGTAGCCGCGAGTTCATAAGTATGGGCGCCTACATACCCATGAACAAGACTCTACTAAACATTGCTCCATGACTCGGGACTTAAAGCCTAGGCTCTAATACCAACTTTGTCACGACCCAATTTAGGATCGTGACCGACACTTAGGAGCAAGTGGTCCCAAGTAAGCCTCATCGGTAATTTTACAGAAAATCGGGCAGAGTTTCCCCTGTTTTTGGACCATCCCAAAAATTTCCTGTTTCAAATCAGCAACCAAACAACCTAATAGCAATTCAGCTGGCAATTTACAACTTACCAATTAGCCTAAAATAAGTCTCCACCATTGCTAATCAACACACTAACAACCAGAAATACTAATTTACCTCCAACTTTCATAATAAAGGATGATACTCAACATAAGACTATACTAACAAAAGAATACTCATGACACTAAATTATTGACTATGGAGCGACTCTAAGAGTTTAATGAAACGACCATAACAAATGATAAAAATCTCCGCCCACGCGAACAAGTGCGAGGCTCACCAAGAATTCTCAACCTGTGCGCTCTAATTAACAAAATCCTCGCCTGCGTCAACTACTGTCTCTGTAAAAAAAAATTAGCGGGGAATGAGTCGCTAGCTCAGTGAGTAATAACACTTAACCACAACCGTTTTTATTTGGGGACAAGTCAGAAACATGCTAGTATCTCAAACAGAAAATAACATAAAATGCCCTTTCAGAAGCAATAAATAATTTTCAGTCTCATCACGCTTTTCTTGTAGTAAAATATAATTAATAATTCAGTAATAAGCTCGGTAACCACTGTATAATATCAGTATTCATATTTTGGGAGGTTTAAATGAACGGATCATGTAATCTGTATCACTGTGTGGACCCCTTCATAAAAGGAGTCAAGTATAACTATAGGTCCCTACTCGAGGGAAAACTGTAACTGTATGCTAGTTCTACCTTCCCACTAGCGAGGGCTATAACTGTAATCGGTAATCTGTAAATACAAGGTGCACCATGTCTAACGAACCCGCCGTTAGCTACGGGATCCTTCAAAGTCTCCTCCCATTTATACTCTTTCTTATAAATAGTAAATACTCGTACAAAAGCATTTTCAAAATAATAAAGGGCATATCATTCCTTATCCAATCTTGTAATTTTATTTCGTTAACAGTAATCATGTCTCAAGTAACGGTAAAACATATCTAGTAACAGTGAAAATATTTTGATTAATCGGTAAACATCTCAAGTAAACTATTCAGTATCATATCAAGTAAATGACTTGTCCCACATATAATTTCAAAGCATCGGTAATACATTTATTTTCAAAAAGCATATATAAACCATGAAGGTTATGAAAACATAAATTATGGTAAGATTACTACTCACAGTACTCGTGCCGAAATACCAACTGCTTCATCTCAAGCAACTCGTACAAATTCCTCCAATCAATCTATAATTACATAATATCGATCTCATGTTAATTTTCTTATTTAGGCTAATTCGTAGCTATTTTAGAACACCCAATCATCGGGGTTCATGTTTGGATCTAAATTTATGGATTTATATTTACCCCCATATGAGTAATTACTAATTTATCAACTCCAACCTATTCATATAATTTATTACTCCAAAATTCATAAAGTTCTATTGGTTCTTTAGAAAGAAATTTCTCAATTTTGTGAATGAACTAGTGTAATTTCTATTACTCTGTAGAATCTTCCAATCAAGAGAATCGAAATAAAAATCTACCTGAAGAAAAAGTTCAAGTAATACCCGTAAGAGACAATTTGTGCTTAAGATTCCTCAACTGTTATAGTTATGGCTTCAATACACTGCACCCACTTCTTCCTCCTTCTTTCTCTTTTCCTTCTTTCTTTCTCTGATCTTTTTCTTTGCGTTTTTTCTTTGTTCTGTTGAAGCTTTTGCTTCTTTGAATTGGGCAGCCACCTTTGCCCTTTTTGTTTCTGTTGGCAGATGGGCTTCGGCCCCTTTTTGCCTAACTTTTTTTTGTTGTTATTTTCTTATAATTTGTTGTTGTTATTATTATTATTATAATTATTATTATTATTATTATTATTATTATTATTATTATTACCAATGCATCCTTATTTAAAAATATAAGGTATTACAGTCTGTGGTCCACCGAGTTCACTGTCTATCTTTTTTTATTCTTCTTCTGATTTGTTAATTGTTTTCCTTGGGTTCTTTATTAGCTCATGTGTAGGTTTATTTATTGTTTATATGATTTATTTATTTATTATCTTTGTCAGTTTTCTTATTATTTTTAATTGCTTTCCAGAATATTAAGGATGCCTTTGGTTGACATAATAGTGCATTATGGTGGTGATTGGATCAAAACACCCAGGTCTTGTATTCAAAAAAGTCGGTCCACATCCGGAGAGGGTATGATTCTGAACTTATTTCTTGAAAGCTTCTAGAAACTGCATGCACTAATGAATTGGGGCATGTAGGTGTCAACAACTTATTGTAAATGACCCTTCTGGTAATTACTATGAGGTAGAAAATGATGTTGCATTTACTATGTTTAATTTCAGATTAATTTAAGACACTTCACTTTTATGTTGTTGATGAGTGTGAAGAGTTTTTTAATGTGCCTAATATTGTTTATCACACTGAATCATATCCAGTGATAACTGATCATGATATTGGTTGTAGTGAATGTGATAGTGAGACTCATACTGATGATGAGGTTGATTATGATTCTGATGGATTACAAAAAAATTCTAGTTAAAGAAATACTGAAATTGAAGCAGGGCTAGAAAATTATAAGGAATTATATAAGGGTATGAGCTTCAAAGACATGCCTGAAGCTAGAAAATACATTAATTTCTATTTCTTGGCAAACAAAAAGGACTTACAGGTAGAGAAAAGTGATAGAAAAAGGTTAAGGTATAAATGTGTAGATGGCTGCTCTTTTGTTGTTCTGATTTTTGGGGATGTGGACCTTCTTGGAGTTAGGATAAAGACATTAAGAGATGAGCATACATGTGAAGAAACATTTGAGAACACTAGGGTTGACTATTGTACGGTAGCAAATTACTTCAAGAAGAAGGTGCAAGAAAATCCTAAGTATAAGATTAAGCAGATGAGAGCAAATTTCAAACAATTATTTAATTTAAATATCAGTTATGGAAAGCACAAGAGGGTTAGGAGACTGATTTTGGAGAAGTTGTTAGATAGTTTTACAGATGACTATAAGAAACTTGAGGCATATGCCAATGTACTAAGGGATATTAATCCAGGGAGTGATGTTGTCATTAACTTGTCAAAGGATGCACTTGCTCAAGGTAAAAGAAAATTTTTGAGAATGTATATTTGCTTTCAAGCTCCCAAGATGAATTCTATTTTAGATTTGAGACCATTTATTGGCTTAGATGAGACTTTTTTAACAGTAAAAGCTTGAGGACAGTTGTTACTTGTTGTTGGACTGGACAGTATTAACCAAACATATCCTATAGCTAGGGCAGCAGTGGATAAAAAAATTAAAAGAATATGGACTTGGTTCTTTGAATTGCTTCAAAGGTCACTGGATCTCAAGGAGGATGAAAGCATCACCTTCATAGCGCACATGCAAAAGGTATGGCCTATGTATATTGTCCTTTCTTTTTTGTTTGTTTAATCAAAATTGCTTATTAGAATTTTTTTAATCTCATACAAGGATTAGTTGAGGCTGTAAATAATGTGCTTA